TTCTGCTGTAGGGGAAGGGAACAGGAAGCTTTGGTAAGAGGAGGAACAAGACGCACACACTGTGTGTGAGGTGCGGCCGCCGGAGTTTCCACCTTCAGAAGAGCCGCTGCTCCGCGTGCGCTTACCCTGCTGCCCGCAAGAGGACTTGTATGTCGTTTATCGCTTTTTTTTTTCCTGTACAATCTAGTGTTTGATTTGTGCATTTGCTAGAAATTTGGTGGGACTTCTGTTTTTATATGTATTTGATCTTTTGTTGATTACATTTTGAGCTGATACATTTGCTTTGATTCTGGTGCTTCCACAATGTTCATTTTTACGATTTGATTGAATTAGCACTGATCATTGCGAGTATAAATGGTAATGTACTTTGAGCCTTCTACGAGTGAATTATGCTCTTCATGCGGACTGATCTCTGCAAAATTCTTGTAATCTAGAAGGCCAGTTTGATTGTTTGCATTTGTTGTTGTGATCATCGAATTGACTGATTGTTTTGTAAAACTTGAATGTTTGGACAACTGGATTGTAATATTTGGTTGATTACATTTTTTGAGCTGATACATTATTGTGGTGCTTCAACTTTGTTCGTATTACGTTTGATTGAATCTTCCCTCATCATTGCGTGTATAATGTATTTAGATCTTTCTAGTTTCTAATGTGGCCCTGTGAGCTGTGACTGAAAGAAAGTAATTGTGAGTGATTGTTTTGAAATTCTTGTAATTTAGAAGGCCCGTTTGATTGCTACATTTGTTATTGTAGTTGTGTTGTAAAATGGTTTTTCTTTTAATTCAATGAATCAATTGACTGATTGTTTTGTAAAACTTGCGCATTAGACAACTGGAGTGTGAAGGCAATTCGTAGAAAGACAACTGGAACTGGACGCATGAGGTATCTCCGCCATGTGCCCCGCAGATTCAAGACCAACTTTAGGGAAGGTTTGTGAATACTTTCTCGGAATTCTATCACTTTTCATCATCATCATCTTGGTGGCAAATCGTGCTATCTTGTCTTATTATGTTTGTGTTTTTATTCATGTTACTTGATCATCTTGTGTTTGATCATAATAATAAGTAAGTTTAACTAAAAAATTTTATTTTGTGTTCTGTGTCCTCTGTCGTGTACTTGGTTTGGTGTCTCTTGCCGTGCTAGCCATTGCCACCCTACATTTGCTTGACACGATATTTGTAATTGTGTACTGATGTTGAATATGTAATGGTTTTACGTAGGTACTCAAGCTGCACCGAGGAAGAATGCAGCTGCTTCACTTTAAGTTTCTAATTTAAAAGAACTCGTCATTGTACTTCAATTTGGTATTTTAAAGAATTTGAGAGCAGGATAATTTTGGGTACCATTTGAAGGGAGATTTGCCCCCTATTTATTGGTACTGAGTTTTGTACTGAATTTGCATTTCTACTTTGTTTGGCATTTTAATACATGTCTAAAAGACCACCTATTTTTCTCTTTTGATTTGTTTGTTTGTTTGTTTGATGTTTTAATTTGCTTGGCCTTCGTGTTTTGAATTTTATCTTTGGCATTAACTTTGATCTCAATAAGTGTTGCAATTATATTTCTGTATATATCTTAGACATCCAATGTTGGGTCACTGCAAAATAATTACAAATGGACTTTTGAGATGACAGTTCTCTGATTGGGAGTAGAGATGTTAATAATCGGGCTAGCCCTAACGGTTTCGGGTTAGCCCTAGCGGGCTTCGGTTTAAACGATCCGGGCCTAAAAAGCTCGGATTTAAATGGGCTACCAAAAAAGGACATAACCCTAACCCTAGCTGACTACGAGCTAAACGAGTTATGCGGGCTATGGCTATAATAATAATAATAATAATAATAATAATAATAATAATATATAAAAAAATAAAAATTAAAAGAGTAAAAAATATAAAAAAAAAATAACAACGGCTAGTTAAAAATTATTTTCAACGACTATTTAGTATTTACCGTCTATCACTATGTTTTATGTATTTCTTATTAGTCGTTCTGATTGGCTTAAATATTTTGGTATGAAGTACAATAACAATATTGTTAATAATTATCTTTCAAAATCATAATAATCCATTACAACTCATACTTACATGTGGAATATCAAAATTGTATATACAAGTAATCTAAGAGCATATTACTTACTTGATCTAAACTTTTACACCGCCCAACCCTAACCCTAGTTAAACGGGTCAGCCCTAACGGGTTTTGAGCTAGCCCTAACGGGTTCTGAGCTAGCCCTAGTGAGCTTCGGGCTAAACGGTCCGGCCTAAAAAGCCCTGATTTAAACTGGCTACTAATAAAAGGACCTAACCCTCTTTTTTTTCGGGCTAAACGGGTCGCGGCCCGTCGGGCGAAGGACCATTTAACATCTCTAATTGGGAGTGTGAGAACAAACATTGTTATTTCACTCTGACCGAATAAAATCAATTAGTTCTATGTTATAAATGACGGTTGAGTGCTTCAATTATTTATAAAAATCAGATTCCTTTCTAATATAATATTCATAATACAAATAGGTAATGTAGAGAATGGATAGTACTTAGATGCACAAGAATCTGCAATTTCCATTGTTGAACTTTTGACGGTAAAGAAAATTTTGAAATGACAGATCTAAGATAATGTGATATGTATTGTATGTTAAGCATTTTTCAATTTAGAAGATTTTCCTTCATCTTTGTTTCTTTCCCTTTTCCCAACTACAAATGTTGGAATGCACAACATGTGGGTTCATCGTAAAATAAAAAATGGGAACAAATGTTTCAACAAAGAAAGAGAAGAACACTAATGTGAATGAAAAAAAAAAAAAAAATTNGAATGAAAAAAAAAAAATGATTTTTTTTTTCAACCACTACAAACAAGCACAAACCATTTGGAGACTCCTGCCCCAGAACAACACAAAAATTGCTTGTGTGAATTTTCTTGAAGGAAACAACTGTACATGCTTACTTGGCAGCCGATTGCTCGGCATTTTCAGCAAGAAAATCTGTAATTCTGTATGCTAAATCCTAAATGAGTTCGAGTTTGCCAAACTTCTCTTTGTCCTGTTCAAACTCTCTAAATACGGTGTCAAGCTCCGGAAATGCTGACAACAGCAACAACTCAACAAGATCGAAGGCTAGTTGCTTCATGAAAACAGATGACTGTGCAAATATATGTATGCCAGCAGTTAATTTCATGAAAACAGATGACTGTGCAAATATATGTATGCCAGCAGTTAATTTTACTACTGATTGGATGGGTTTTGAAACACTTTTGTTCATTTTACTACTGAGATGGGATGAAGATCTATATAAGGAAATTTGGAAAGTGTGCTTCATGTAAGATCTAAGATGGATATGTAATAATTTATCCCAAAAAAAAAAGATGGAGATGTAACAATTAAAGTTGATGAGATGTAGAAATAGTAGAATAGTGATTGGTAGTTAACAACATATGTGTAGATGAACAATAAATTTTGTAGAAAAATGTGAGGTAATGATTGATTTCTTCATAAAATTGTGTAGATTTAGGGAGAGAAAAAAGTGAGATTAGTGAATGGTGTACTTTTCTTGTTTGGTGGATGATAATTATTATATTTTTATTATCCAACTGCTTAGATAAAGAAGGAGCACATAACCTCCATACTAAACATTTCTAAAAGTTCTTCACCCGCACCACGTAAAATAAAAATTAGACTTTTAATTGTTATGGTGTCTGTGAACACTAAGATACGCACTTTGTTATGCAAGGAATATTTAGGATTAGATAACAGAGAGCACAGTTCTAACTTCCGCTTGAATTAGTGTAAGAGTTATGAGACAATGAGCAAGAAGATAACCTGAATGAAATAGTAGAGATCCATGGCACATTGTTCATATTCCTTACGTCCAACGAGGCCTACAATAGCAGCTGGTGCCTTATCTGCAAAAACAATTCTGAAAATTATTTTAAAAATAAATAATAATAATAATAATAATAATAATAATAATAATAATAATAATAATCAACATGTCTAACAAATGTAGAGAAACAACTGCAGCTCAAAAAATGAGGAGTTTTGTTGGGATTACAGTTGGATAAGAGAAAATCAACATTTTACCAATCATCAGTTCATATACAAATTTGGCTCGCCTTTCAGCTTCCTTCTTTTGCATCTCCTCCAGCTTCAGAACATCTTCAGGATTAGGTGAAGGAGAATATGGAGTCGAAGGTTGGTCCTCAGTAGATTTGTGAGATGGGCTATCAGGTGGGGGCTGTTGTCTTCTTGGGTGCTTTGTGATGAATATTCCATCGGGCCATAATATCTAATTAGAACAAAGAAACGAACAACAAATTTTTTTTTAAACAAATATACAAAGCATTTGGCAATCCAATAAACGAGCCTCATAATTATGTAGACCTGCCAGGTTTCCACATTACGGTTTCAAGTTACTTCTAAACAAAATGTTTCGATAACTGAAATTTTGTAATCAGAAGAAGGTGCCAAATTAGATGAATTCAAAAGGAAAAAATAAAAATAAAAAAAATCATATACCTGCTCGACTCTCTTGATGCCAGCAGCAACTACTGATCCCCTACGTAGATGCTGGATTTTCTCAATCAACCAATCATCAAAAGCATCACCCATTCCCAATTGTAAGACTTGTTTGGCCACCCAGAAAGCTTTTCGCCTGCAAATGCCACCTCAGATACGACGAGTTGAGACGGGCATTTGGGGTCAAGGCTAGAAATCTATTGCAAATAAAATTACCTGATCCATCCACCATCTTTTAGCTGTAAAATGACATCAACCAAATCCAATATAGGAACGCTCAAATTCGGCGGCACCCACTGTGCAGAGAGAAAATCAGAAAAAATACAACAAGGTTGTTAACACGTGTGAAATCACTAATGATACACAAAAACAGAACAAAGGTATATAATACAAAAGCGTTGAAAAGATATTCGTTCCATGAAATTTTTAAGGGAGTGAAAAACTAAAAGGAAAGCCTAAGATCTGGAAATTAACCTCACTGGGAAGTGGATCAGGGTCATTATCAGTTGCAACAGGATCCGACTGTCTTCTGTCTCTATTTACTGTTCTTTCTGAATTTCTGAATGGTGGTATGTTCTTTTGCTCTGGGTTCTCCGAGCCAGTAGTAGGGTTCTCGTAAGATTTCTTAAATTCTTTTTCAGGCTGTTTCGATGAAGAAAGAACTTGCACTTTTGCTTTCAATCCTGCGTTGTCAGAAGCATGGTCACTCTTCGTTCTTGATGCAAAATCTTGGTTTCCATTATTGAAAGTTTCTTTCTTAGAGCATAATGGATCATATATTTCCCCTACATGCTCCCGGTACTCCTTGCTCTTTTCACATGGTGTTTCATTTTGCCCAACTGAAAATACAAAAACATTTACAGTCCATGAAGAGTTCACATCAATAATCATGAGAAAACCTGCTTTCTAGAGATTTTACCTGCAAGGGTATCGATTATTGATAGTGAATCTGAAAATATATACATCTGCAAATTTTGTAAACAAAGAATTAGAACCTGGGGAAGAACAATAATTCTTTTCACACAGATTCTGAAAAGTGGGAAATAGTAAATTAAGTGTCGAACCTGAGAATCAACACTAAGGAAATCCCAAACTTCAATGGAGCAAGAAACAGTAGGAAGCTGCATAAGTTTCTGCAGAGCAATGGAAATTCAGAAGGTTTATAAGTTTCCGCTTAATGATCACACAATTCTACCTATTTGAGTACACGGGGATACATGAAAATTCTTAAAAAGCCCCAACAGTTCCTGATCAGAATCAAGCAAAATGATCGTGACGTCTTCATTTTTTCAGGTTAATCGAAATGACAACGAAATCTCGGGAACTCATTAGCTTTATTCTACCTCCTTAGACCAGGTAAAAAACATATGCCTCCAACAAAACCTAGGAACAGGAAAATTCTAATTTCAGCAAGCTCTATAACAACCTAATTTATGTTTTTTCTATTTCCCAAACTTGTTAAAAGCTCTTGGAGCTTAGTGTCCGGTCCTCCTTCAAAGTTCTGCCACATACCTTTACATGCATGCAGAAAACTTCTATTTTCTGTTTCCCATTAATACGACACGTTATAAGATAATGGTAATTAAAACTCCCACCCTTCCACAATTAGGAAAAAGAGAAAGGAAATAAGGCATCCATATTAACAATTACGTATCCCGATATCCAAAAACACATAAACAAATGTCAAACTTATGACATCACTTTTCTTTTGAAGCTCATCCACATAGGTGCTTCTACTTACACATTTCCTCATTTGCATCGAGGTTCGAATCAAGGATTCGCTAAACTGTATATTCAGGAGGAGAGAAATATATAAATGTAAATTGTCACGCGTGAACCAAACAGTAAAGTATGACCTTCAAATAGTGGTCAAGTGATCTACATCGCTCTTGAATTACGAATACATCTAGACCAGTTGACAGGAAATGCTTTGGTGGCAAATGAAGCTTATATTCAGGGAATTCTTTAAGACGCCTATGTAACTCCTCAAAGTGTTGATATCTGTCAGCATGAGAAATAAGATCAGTTAATACACTGTATTTCCTCAGTCAGGGACTAACTTATCTTCTATCCTGCAACATGCAGATTGCTTAAACCAAAGATACACAACCACCAACTTCGAATAAGTAGAAATTTTTATTTAAAGAATCTCATATACTTTGATGAGGATGATTAAACCTACACGGAGACACACCATCACTCCATAATTAGAACAAAAAGATAGCAGGGAGAAGCATCCAAGCAATAGTAAGAGATAAAAATTACGAAATAGATTATCTTGGCACCTTCTTTTGATAGACCAACTGTGACCATTAACATCTGTAACAGATATGCAATATACAGCAAATGTCTTGGATCCACTCTTCACAATATTGGCACCCGATACCTGCGAAAAGAAATGAATTTACACTCTTCACATCCTCAGGCATAAACATACAATCAAGCTTAACCGTATTGGTAAAAGGATCAACGTGTGATTGGAGTACCTCGCATCTTAATTTGAAATATGAATCATAAATGATCGAGTGTTTTGCTGAACTAGCAGCAAGACTTTGACTTTCAGGTAAAGAGGCCAACGACAAAGATGATGAAGTTGTGGCCCCACTACAAATTCGGCCCAACAGGTCCGAGTCGGAGTCCTCACTCGAGCCTCCAGGTTTGCTGGTCGTTTTGGAGGAATTCAATGCATCCAACCCATCTCCTAGTAAAAAACTAGTTCTTTGAACCTCTTCCCAAATATGCCCATTATGACTGCTGGATCTAGATCTTTTCTTAGCAGACTTGGTTCTACGCATTTCTTTAGAACGGAGCTGACCTTTGTTGGCCTTTCTGCTCTTGTGTTTGTCGACCGCTTCAAGTGGATGATGAATTCGGCTAAAATTTCTTTTGTTTTTACCGTCCCAGACTTTAACACCTGGTGAATCAAGACCCATAACGCCAGTGCCATCATCGTCTTCCGTATAACTACTGCTCCAGGAATCAACTTCATCAGAAGACACGATTTCATCATTGTTGAGTAAGGAAACCGATGTCCCACTTTCAATAGATATATTTCCGGGCACGCCAGTATTGGTCTGCCATCGTCCTTTATTACTACCTATTGCATCTCTCTCCTTCTTCTTCTCATGAAGAACTTTTGACCGTTGAGCGGAATTAACAAAAGAATTTTGTTGATGAGGATCAGCCAACTGATTTGTGTCCTCCTTCCTCTTATAGTCTCTTCCTTTGGTCCACATATTGTCAAAATGTTCTGGAGCCAATGCCTCAGTCTTTCTCCGGGAAAACTCGTCCAGCACACTACCCCATTCTCCTCCAGAGGGATGCCGTTGGATATCTGTTCCTTTATCTGTTCCCTCACCAGTATGAACATCAGGTAAGGAATGCCAAGAACGGGTGGACTGTGTATCCATGGAAAGCAAAGGGTCCTTGGAAAGAGGCGTTCCATTCATATCATGTGGTGCAATATTCTTGGTGGCTTGTATATTCTGATCCTTCTTCAGTTGCACCAACTCAAGACCCTTGCTAGAAGGATCTGGTGTCTGAGAAGCATGGTCGGATTGAATTTTCGGTGGTGGGTCTGTGGTGGTTGCCTTGGACCCGTTATCAGTTTTTCTAACAGAAATAGCTAGAGATTCTATTCTCTCATTAATAAACCTGAAACCAAAATTTAGACGATGATAAGTAACAGAATGAATATATGTTGAGGAATCACAATGACTCGTATACTCACCTTTGATTAGCGAGATTCAGAACCGGTCTGATTACAACACAAGCAAGGAGTTCTCTAATAATATACCGGAATACAGAGCACTGCAGATCCTCTGGTTTAAATGTCAGTGAAATGAGGCCATCCATAACATTCTGCAGAACCTGCCATGATTCGGAAATAATGAAAATTCAAATGATCAGGAAATCAGGAATTTTCTGTTTATAATAGTTAGATTTAATGAATAAATTAAAAGAAAAAAGGAAAAAAGAGAGTCAACCTTATGCTCGGATTCAGTGGAAAATAACAGGGGATGCAAATTGTTCTCAGCAGCCAAAACAGATTTTAATGCAGCGTCTCTCTCTTCGAAGGTCAAAGATCTGGTTTGACGTTTCTCAATCTTTATTTTACTTGCACGAAAGAGCTCCAGTCGTCGAGATACAATATTGATAATATCCCTGCACAATATGTAAGGAAACCCTTCTTTAGCATGTCATCAGATCCTACCTTCACCAAGAAAATTGTTAAATAGAATTGAGGACGCAACCTCGTTAAGAGATCAATCAGATTAATGTTTCTCATGCGACTTGAGATTTCTCCAATTACACCATTCATGACCAATACAATCTCTTCAGGACCTTGTCTATCAGGAGTTACACGTGAGTACCACAGATCTGTCACCCACTCTGAGACAATGTGTCTCGTGAATTGGTCGATTGCTTCCTCCACAACAGGGGAACTTACCTTAAGCTTCCAATCAGACCTTTCAGGCACTAATTTAAGGCCGACAACAGGTTTTGTTCGGGAACTCTTTGTGGGTGTTTGCTTGCCTTTGTACGTTGCAGCTTTTCTCCGCGTGTCGAAATCCAGAGACATATAGCGAAGTATCATTATTAAGAGCAGAGCAGGAGGTAGGTTGACCAGAACTGATGCACTTGTCACTGAAGAATGGGGGAAAGATAAATTAAATATGCAAACGATCGTCACAAACAATGTAAATATTGAAAATAAACTGTAAGTTAAAAGAGTCGAGCCCCGTCGAGTGTAAAGATTCTAGTGATGTGATACTATTATTACACCATCATTTTTTAGCATTGTATATAGTTGATAACAATAGCATCATATATAACATAGTTTTCAGCATGGTGCTAGTTTCTACGTACTGGAACCTGAACCGATGCCCATATATCCAATTTGAGCTACACATATACTAAAGTGACCCAAAACCCAAACAAATGCTCAATGAATTTAAGTAGAGTGGTTATGTTGCAAGAAAAGAAATACAAACTTGAATAAAAACCAGTAATGCCTTGTTGCCTTATTATGGCCAATATCACATTAATCCCATCTGGCAGGTGAACTTTTATATCTCCTTTATGAATGTGGCTTACTGAGAAATGAATAACAAATGGAATTAACTGATAAAGTCAACAATATCACAGATTACCATATAAATTTTTCTAACACTTTTAGAGATTCCCAAAAGATTAATCATTGATGTTCTCTTGATACATAGAAGTTAGAATAATCATCCTAGTAACCATCTTGTTTAGGCAAGTTTAGCAAAAAAGATTATTGTGTTAAGACCATGTACAAATTCAGTTCATTACTACAGTTTCTCATCATCTGGGGTTGGCTTGGGGCGAGTTTCATTAAATTATTTCCACCGTGACAGTATAATTACATATAGAAAAATTCTATCAAACCATTGAATGATATAAAAATGGTAGCATTCAGCTGTTCCTACAAATTCACCCCTGCAAACACACACATATTATGCATTTCCTCCAAATCCCCACAAAAAGTATACACTTATGAAACGATTCTCCATAAATAAGCCAAAGAACTGGAGAAAATGGAGCTAATAAAGGAAGGAACAAACAAAGGATCACTCACATGACATGAGATAGGACAATCCAACGACACACACCACCAGAAGAACAACTCGCTTCTTAGCTTCCTCCACGAGGTCTCGAAAACTCACAGTCTGCCTCTCGCCACTGCTCATTTTCCCAAACCCCTAACAGCAACTTCACCTTCTCACCACGCAATCACTCATCCCAAATCTCAATCACCCAACCAAACAAAAATCAAAATCGAGCAAAACCAATAACTCAAACTTCTGCAATCAAAATATTTCCAAAACAAAAACTGCATTCTCCACGCCGCCACTCCAAAATCCTCCCGAAAAAAGTATCAAATTGATCGAAAGCTCCACCGCACTCCAATTCACGGGACCCCTTTAGGCTTTTCAATGCGTGCCTTTTGGGAGTACCAATCAAAAAAACTGAATCGATACGGACATATATCTACAGTTCTCAATCTAGATTTCTCAAGTCTACGAATAATCCATTTGGGAAAACGGATTATCGGGTGCCCAAATCAGTTTGATTCAGGAGTTTTTCGCTAAAATTAACCAACGATTTTCTGTGATTGAGTTTATGCTGACAAATTTCTTCACTCGAATGAGAATAAGCCAATTGTCGTGGAGACGGGGACCATGTCCAAAATGGTACTTTCGCATGCAATTTCGTGACGCGTGTGATGAGAGGCATAAGCTGGGGCCCGGCGGCGAGTGACCGTAATTGCATTTCTACCCTTATCGGCCCTAGGAATAGAATACTGCCCATCACATGGCCATGGGTCACCCAGCTAGACAACCCGGTCCAGACCTGGCACGAAGCTGGCCCAGTCAAAACCATTGACCATGTGTCTGGGTTCAACTCGATTTTTTAATTGGGCCAGATTAGGATCGACCATTTTGAACATATGACCCCATGGGCCAACACGGGACAGGCCAAGAAAAAATATTGTATTTTGTGTAATATGTTTGTCCTGTTTTTGTTATCTTTTTCTTGATTGGTTTATAGGTTTTTAGCCCCCGGTTTAGGTCTTTTGATAGGATTTTCGGTCCTCGAGTTGTTGGTTTTGTGTAGTTGTCGTTATTCCTTTATTTTCATATTTTCGGTTGTTTCCTCTGTTTTCGGGTGTTATTCTTGTTTTTTGAGGTGTGCAGGTTCGGGTTTTTGAGAAGAGTTCAAGTTTACCCAGTCGAGCTATTTCAGTTTTACAAAGCACCTGTGGGTCTTCCTAATGCCACGCCGGAAGATCCCTTCCAGACCGCCGCGCCGGGCCCTCGCGCCGTGACACCCTTAACGGGCCTTCAGACGGACAAGTTTCTCTCGCCGCGCCGCTACGTCGCTCGCTCCGCTACACTTCCCTGCTCCACGATGGTCGCCACGCCGCGACGAATTCCACGAGCATACAGAGGCTCCAGGTCCTTCCAACCGCCGCGCCGTGTCAGACCCCTAGCGCCGCTACGAGATTGCCGCCGCGCCGTGTCAGACCCCCCGTGCCGCTACGAACTTTCCCGCCGCGCCGCGCCTGTGAGCTCCACGCCGTGACGAAGTCGCGCCTCGCGCCGCGGCGCCTGATATTTTACGTCTTTTGAAATATTAATCTGATCGCTACAAAATAGGATCGAGGAGGGTTTTCAGAATTCATTCTGCACTTTCACTTTTCTCTCGTTTTTATCAGACGAAAAACATTGGTTCTTTTATTTTGCTTATCTTTGAGGATTTTGGGAGTGACACCCAAGGATTTCATCGTGGATTTGGATTGTGCTTGAGATTAACACTTTTTAGTTATCTATCGTAAGTTTTCTTCTCATTTTACTATGAGTTTGGATTATTTGCTATATACAATATTTTGTGTCCATCTCGACATGAGTGGCTAAATCCTTGAGCTAGGGATAGGGGATGATTACTCGTGTTTGTGTGTTTACCTTGCTTACGATTTTCGTTCGATCTATTCGAGTTGAATTAAACCTAGGGTTAGATGCTTGATCACCATCCTGACCTATTTAATTGGCTTATATAACCGAAAGGGGAGAAGTCGATCGATCTAGGCTCGATTAGAGTAGGCTTGTTCGTGATTGTATTGCCTATGCGTTGTTTGATTGGTTTGATTTACCGTCTATGTTTTCCCTCTTGTTACGAGCAGTTATTGAGGATTAATCTCTAGACGTGTAGGTTGATCGAATTATTTAACTGAACAGTCTTAGCTTGGTATTTGCATTGGATTCGAGAGCAATCATCCCTGATTCCCTAGCATTCTCATACTGATAAGTAACTCGTTTTAAGTAATTTATAATTGTTCATTTGCGTTATCTGAGAATTAGTAGTCGATAATTAAAAATCAAAATCATCGTGTTAAAGTGTTTAGGAAATTAATTTCTTCTTCTTGTGATTGAAAATACGTACGAGATAATCCGGCTAACCTTCCTTGCGATACGACCCGGGGACGAATCTTTCGATTCTACTCCGAAAAAATAAACTACAACATAATACATAAAAGTTTACATAATATAATTATCATTGAATAGTATATTCGAGCATTTCGAATCAAGCATGTACATATCTTTGAATTTTAATCGAGTAAATTTTGAATACTAAATATCATTTTTATTCGAATTCAAATTTGAATTTTCACATAAAAGAATTACGAATACTAAGGGCATGTTTGTTTACTAAATAATCTATTCAAAACGAGTTATTTTGGTTAACTATATTTATTTTTAAAAAATACGGTATGATTTTGTTAAGAGGATTTTAAGAATGTATTAAATAATATTTAAAATAAAATTATTAATATTGATTTGATCAAAGTAGGAGATAAATGATTGTAAATGATTGAAAATGATATGTAGTTAAACTTATGTGAGTGAATGAATAGTGAAATAAAAGTTGATGTAATCTCTCTATATATATATATATATAATTACTAGCTGATGCATTTAATAAAATATTTAATAAAACTTATTTTCATTCTAAAAGGAGTTACATTTTTTTTTAATTAATTACACACTAATCTGCTAAAACCGTTACACCTTAATATAAACTAGTATTCGATCCTGCATATTTGCACATATATAAATAAAATATTATAAATTAATTATATTCATATAATATTAAAATTATAAGTTAGATAGTGGTATTGAATTTTAAACATAGAGTACTATAAGTTATATTTAGGCATATAATATTAAAATTTTTAAATACATTGCAGGACAATTCTGGAGGAGGGTTTTATTTTATGGGATTTGATTTTTCAAAATATTTGATGTATCTTTGTAATATCCAAAAAAATATTTTTTTATTATTGTATGATCGCAATAGGAAATAGAGATATTTGTAGTCGTTGTTAATTAGTTCTGAAATATGTATTTATATAATACCAAAACATATATATTATCAAAATAAAAACAAAAATATTTTGTATTTCATGACATAAAAAGACGTTACAAAAGGAGAGACAATCTAAATGGGACATGTCAAAATAAATCGTGTAACTGAAACTTAAACATTTATATTAAATTGTGAACATATTTTTATTAAACGAACTACTATTATTATTATTTGTTGGCTGAATAAAATTTATTGAAGCTTGCCAGCAATTATATAATAATAGCAGTTCATTTAAGTAATAAACTTGTGCATTTGCACAAAGAATACTTTAAAAAGATAACAATAAAAAAAATCAATTTAATTCATGAAAAAATATGAATTAAGAAAATAATTCTCAAAATTGATTTTGATCAAGTAATTGTTATGAAAGAGCCATTACAACCATTTTTTTTTATGCTAATTGCTAATACATCCGGTCATTTTTATGAGTGGGTGTGACTTAAAATTTGAGTACAATTTTGTAACTCCCTTGATTGGTTTATGCTCATAATTTATGGCATTCAAGCAAGTTATTTTGTAACTTAAAAATGAAATTGAATGTTGAAAATTTTGGAGGGATAATAAAATTTAATGCATGATAATATAATTAAATGTTATGTTGCTCCTCTTTATATATATATATATATATATAGATATATAGATATTTTTATTATTTATTTTTTGGATCAGTTACTAAATTAATTCTAAATTTTGTAGCAAAATTTTCAAATGTGTAACGACTAATGTTGGAACTTAAAGTTGATTGGCACATTCAGAGCTGTAACCGCTATATTTGATTACATTGTTGGAAGAACAATATGATTGGCACATTTGTTTTTGTAAAAATCATAAACACCAATAATTTTTTTTATTTATGTTAATTTTCTTAATATATGCCACCAATATATAAATTATTTTATTCATGTTACTAATGTAAACGTTGCATGGTTAAAATAAAATTTAAATCTCAATTAATTTTGAATGATCAAAATAACCTAAGAAAAAGTAATAATTTTTATATGATAGAAGTACATGTCTAATTAATAAATACAAACAAAAACGTGTTTTATATATGTGCAAATGCACATGATCAAATACTAGTGTGTAAGAATGATTAGTTTGTATTATTTTATTGTATGAATAATATTAATGATAGTGTGATTGAGTTAAAGTTGAATTAAAATTTTGAGTATGAATCAAATGTGGGACTGACCTGCATTAGGTCTTGGGGGGCCCGTGGGCCCCCCTCAATTTTTCTTAAAAATCATTCTATATATATATATATATATAAATAAAAAAAATACTATAAATTATGAATAAAAAGGTAAAAAATCATGTAGAATATATATAAATAATTAAAACTTATTTTCAATGCTATTTTAATTTAAAGTTATAATATTATTTATTTATTAAAAAGTATACTAACAATCTTTATATTTTACATTTATGGAAAATAAATATATAATAATTTACTCTTTCGACCTCTTAATTGTAAATTAATTTAATGATTTATAAAACTTATAATTTTTTGGATTGTTAGATTTTTTAATGTTGATCGATTGTACATTTAAGTGTTGATTTTTTACTTTATTTTTTTTATATAATCATATACTTTCAACTTTATTTATTTTTTTATTAATAAAATGGTCATTTGATAAACCCTCATCAACAAAAAATGTTATGCAATGTATTGCAAAAGTTAGATGTAAATCAAATTTTGAACAAAAAGACTTATTTTCTTCATAAATTATGGATCTTAAACTTAAATTATAAATACACGAAATCTCAATTTTTTTTTCCTAAAAAAAAAGTTTGAGGGTGATACGAATTCTAAGGTTTTAAAAACTAGATGGTACACATATCAATATCTATATTTACACAATTCATATAAAATGAGCGTTTTACGTAAACTACAAACTCGTTATTTAACATTAAAATTGGGCCCCTCTGAGTTAAAATCCTAGCTCCGTCATTGCGTCTAATCCAATCTTGTGTGAGTAGCTAGCTACACTTTGTTTGTTAGTGATGTTTTTGGTCTACACATATTTTGGCATTTAATAATGATATTATTTTTTATCCTACTTAGCAACTAATTAAGACGTTGAAAAAGCATAAAGGACAGCATTATTGTTCGTATTTAACCTTTGATGACGACAGCATGTGAACGCTTAGCCACCCACAATTCGTGGGCCTATAGCTGTCGCATGCAATGTAAGAAGAAGCACAAATTATGGGTTGGCCCAACAAAAATACAATCTGTTTATGTCAAGTCAATTGGTGAGAAATTTCATTTCACTTTCTTTCTTTCTTTTTTCTTTTTTTTTTTTTTAAAAAAAAGGTAAAAATAAATAACGTGCCCATCGTATATCTTTTCACTGAGATGTTGACAAACTTATCAAGGAGGACACTATTCACGTTGGACTTTATTCTTTATGTTTTAATTGTTGATCGCACAGATATATATAAGAATGTGTAGATTTGACTATAAAAATAATGATTAGTTGTGTTGTGGTAAGAAAACAATAAAATAATAATTGATAGTTGTAAATACGCAAACAAGTGGACAATAAATTTTATGTACCTTTTTAAATGATTTTTAGTTATAAATTATATTAAAAAATATGAATGAAACAAGGAAGAAATTGAGATGGATGAATATTATAGTTTGTTATCGAGGGATAAAATTAAATTGGAAATATATGGAGTCACACCTACTTTTCAAACTCCTTTTTCTCTCTCTATCTTTATATATTGATTTTAAATTGGAAAATTAAAAAATTATTGATTTTGCCAAGAAAAGAAAAATCGACTCTAATCTCTATAAGTACTTGTGATGCAATCATGTAAACTCTTCATTGAAATTTACACAATTTACATGGGAAAAGAAAACTAAACACTCTCTCCTATATTTTTATTGTTTGTCATCCTAGCTTAATTGATCATTTATTAAATAAATGTCGTTTTGGCTATTTTGTACATATTTTGCCATTATTACCCTCATTTAACTAATAAATACACTACGTTTTTTCATATTCACTCTCCATTTTTTTCTCAAAACATCAATCTCTATCATCATTAATGAGAGTTATTATTGGTAAAAAAAAATATTCTTAATTATTGTGAAACTTCTCAAAACGACATTTATTAAAAATAAGAGGGAGTAACTAAAAAGAGCAATGTTATAGAGTCAACACAATTTGGGTTACAACTCAAGTGTAAATGCATTATTTTTTAATTTTTTGATAATATATTTACACTTAGGTTGTAACCCAAGTTGTCATCCAAGTAGGCTAAAGAACATTACTCAACTAAAAAAAACACCCACCACACATAATAAACTACTCCAAAACTAAATAACACAACCTAAATAAAGATGTGGATACCAAAAATCACAAGGAGAAATAAGAATATAATACATACCTACGACAAAATTTATGATAAATTCTTCATTTCTTCTAGCAAGCTTATAACTGTTGTCACACGATTCTACGCAGGACAAGCCAGTCTCCGAATTCAAAATCAAAATAAAAACCCAATAGTTAAAACCTCCATATCTAAAAAACCTAATCCAAAATTCGAATGACTAAGCAGAACTAACGAGAAAACAAAATTCGAATCTAAATCTGATCCCACAATTAGAAGCTTCTAAACGAGTGAGAAATTGGAAGTTGAGATAGCTATCCCGGCTAGCCTCGCCAGTCCCAACATATGGCTGGAGAGCTTGGGACGGGACAGAGATGCCCAGCCTAGCCCAACCCATGGTCGAAGAAATGGTGCGAGTTTTTTAATCTTTGCACGAATATTTAAAGATACAAATCGTACTGAGTTACACGGTTGAATTTGAATTTTCAATTTCAACTCAATTTTGCCCACTCAAATGTGACAGGTGATGACCAACAAAACCAAACATTTACTTTAGAGGATATGATAATTCATATAATGCACAAGCCGATATTAACCCATTAGGCGAAACTATAATTAACTAGCTAAAATTCACAATTTGATTTGTTGTTTCAATTTCGGCTCGAAGCTATTATTAACTAGCTAAAATTCACAATTTGATTTGTTTTTTGGATTTCGGCTCAATTTTGCTCCAAAAAACGAATATTTTTGCTTAGATAATATGAAATGATTAGATCTCATGAAAGGTTATTTTAGACAACATATGCCTTTACCAATAACAATTCACAGGTTCTCGTGAAACGACGTCGCACATTCTCCTTGGACCTCTCGCACACACTCCGTACACTCGACGACAGTAAAACAAAAAACCACGCGTAAAAGCAGCCAGAATACCTTAAAACGACGCCGTCCCACACGCGCTCTCCGCTCTCGAGTCGGAGTACAAGATCGACGACGAGGAGGAGGAGGAGGAAAAAGCGCTGTGTTGAGCACCGCGTGAGAAACCCGAGACGCTGAACTCCGGCAATGTCTGCGCCGCTTGTGCCGTCGCCGCCGCTGGTGGCTGGTCCGCCCCCGACGTGGCCTCCGTCGCCGCCTCTGGTTGAATTTCCGTCCCCGACCTCGTCTCCGCCGCCATTTCTTCCGCTCGGTCCACCGACTCCCACGGTCGTGCTGTTTCCGCCGCCCTATCCCCAGAACGGCACTCCACCGACGGCGGCCGGCGGGCCCTCCTCGAGATCGGGCGGCAGTGCGGCATTGTTGGCGCTAGGTGTGGGGATAGGGATAGGCGGGGCGATTGTGCTGGTCTGCGTGGGCATTTTCGTCATTTGCTACAGAAGGAGGAAGAGGAAGCGCCTCGAAATGGACGGATTTGCTGATGCTCCCAGGCGGCCGCGAGGTCCCAAAGGTAAAATTTGAACTTCATTACAGACCGAATGATTTATTATTTAAATATTTGTACAGACGATTTTTGTTTTCTTTCTCTGTTTTTTTTTTTCACTTGCTTTCTCAGTAGCTGACGCCAGTAACATACAAATCTGAGATATTATTGTTATTTATTTATGCTGTGTACTGCATATTAGCATTTGAGCTTACGTTGTACTGGACAAACATTTAGGTTTTGCAGAGTTGGTTGAAAAATTCCTTAGGATATGTGTATAATTGCTGACATTACATTGTGCTCACTTCCAATGAAGATGATTCAAATACAAGGAGTAATTACTTAAGTACATCCCATTTTGGTTAATTTAAAAGATCTCCATTTTTTCCCCCAGATACTCCCTAAAGTGTTACAAACGCCCACTTAAGGTTTATACAGCACAAATACCCCTCTTTTCAAGGTGTAATTTGTCAAAGAGAAACATGTTAATCAAGGGATTAATTGTGATTTTGAAAAGGTAACTGGGCTTCTTTTTGTAGATATACTATACCCTAAGGATATGTGGCTTACCGGGTATTCATTTATTTCAGGATATGTTTGTTTCTGAACACATTTTCATTGTCTTATTTCTCTTTGGCGAGTTTTATGTCAAATTTACTAGTACATTCAGTTTGCTATAACATTTTGCTTTTATAGATGATCCTCACTGGGGCCCACACAACCCCGATCAGCCTAACTCATCATCAACCAGTGATCATCATGGATTGCCAAAGCCCGCTCCTCAATCGGGCCTTTCATCTAATTCTCACCCTGAAACTGGAATGGCCTGTACAAAAACAACCTTCACATATGAAGAACTTGCTCTGGCAACTGATAATTTCTCAGGCACCAATCTGCTTGGTCAAGGTGGGTTTGGATATGTTCATAAGGGAGTTCTTTCTGATGGAAAAGAGGTCGCGATTAAACAATTGAAGGTCGGAAGTGGTCAAGGAGAACGAGAATTTCAGGCAGAAGTCGAGACCATAAGTCGTGTTAATCACGAGCATTTAGTATCGCTGGTTGGTCACTGCATTTCAGGGACTCAGAGGTTATTAGTATATGAATATGTTTCCAATCGAACCTTGGAGTTTCACTTACATGGTAAAGCCACAACAGGTTCTTTTGATTTGGTAATATTTGTGCTGGTTGACATAAAATGAAGTCATGTAGCTATGTCTGCAAATTCATGTTTAGGGAGGTTTTGTGATTTTCTTAACCGACTTACAGAAACTGAATTTGTATAAAAACCATAATTTGAAATGGGAAAATATAATGGATATTGGCACCCACTATCTGGCTTGTGTATAATAACTACAGCATTTTGCTTGCTGTGTCCAAGCTATGATCAGTATCATTGAAGCTTTTAAGAGACATGGTAAATTAAAACTGTTTTGAGTTCATGATCAACTAGTAGAGCTGCTTCCAAAATTATCATAGAACAGCTTCTTCTTCTTCTTCTTCTTCTTCTTCGTTTTTTTTTTTTTTTTTTTCCCCCTTTTTCTTTAAACATCTACCTATGTTTGTTTTAAGTTATGATATAATGTATAAATTTTTTCTTATACTGTACAAGTTCATTCTCTTCTCTTAAAATTGTCTTATAAGAGTGTAAAACAATGCAGGTAAGGGGAGACCTCCTGTAAACTGGGCTACTAGGATGAAAATTGCCATGGGCTCCGCGAAAGGATTGGCATATTTGCACGAGGAATGTAAGTCATGCTTTTCTCTTTGTTATGGACTTCTTGGCGGTGCTTTTATTCTCTAAAAGTTCAACGAGATTGAATTTCAATGGCATGTGCAGGTCAACCTAAGATAATACATCGTGATATCAAGTCTTCTAATATTCTTCTTGATGATAATTTTGAGGCAAAGGTGCGTATCAATTTTTCTGAACGCTGTAGATGACCCCATGAATATTCTCTCTCTCTCTCTCTCTCTCTCTCTCTCTCTCTTTGTGTGTGTGTGTGTTGTGTGTGTGTGTGTGTGATTCTAGCATTTTTAGTTCTTGACAGCTTGATATTTTTACTTATGTATTGTGGTTTCTATTAATGAATCCAGTTGTACAACAATGATGTGATATTCCTATTTGGGTATGCTCTAGCCTTTAAGGCATGTAATCATGAAAAAAATAGCATAAAAGGAACAGACAATTGAATAGAGAGTCGTTACTGGGCAGCCCATGTAATTCCTAATTTCAAACATTGACAAACGTATGTACAAACCCAACATAAGATTATTGAGTGGCGCAACTGCATCGAGTAGACGAATGTTAAAACATTAGGTTCAATTTGTGGCAAATGGCGATGTACAAAACAGTGCATTTGTGGATGCAAAAGTGCATAACAAATTTTGGATTTCAAAATATTTGGAGAAAGGAGAGCAGAAAAGTTAATTTGGTTTGACTTGTGCTACTGAATATTATAAATTGCTGGAAATGAGGGTTAAAGTGGTTATACGTGTTGCATAAGGATGGTTGATGTCAATTGGTGAAAAACTTCCTAACATGAGTTGCAGATTTCATAGTTTTTTCTATTCCTATCCTTATTCTCGATTTTTCTATAATCAGGAGTGAATATCAACTCTGTTTGATTTTATTCAAACAGGTTTCAGATCTGAGCATCTGATCTATGAAAAAAGCAGTTTTTGTTTTTGTATGATGTTAAAGTTTTTAAATTGGCCAAGTTTGCCAAGATTTATCTATTTTTCATACAGCTTTTATGCTCGCTTTGAAAATCAATTAAAATATTTACTGTTCCAAATCATCGTTCATTCTTGGGTACTTCAAACCAGGTTGCTGACTTTGGGCTTGCTAGGCTCTATTCAGAAACTGATACTCATGTATCCACTCGAGTAATGGGAACTTTTGGGTAAGAAGATGAAAAGCTACAATCTACGTTCCCCCCATTTTGTGGCACTTTTGCTGCTAAAAATTAAATTGCTTGCTTCAAATGGAAAGACGATTACCAAAATCTATCATATACCATATTTTTTGTTATAATCTGATTAGCTAATTATGCCCTGCCTACTTGCCACAGTTATTTAGCTCCTGAGTATGCTCTTACTGGAAAGCTGACCGACAAGTCAGATGTCTTCTCATTCGGTGTTGTTCTGTTGGAGTTAATCACTGGACGAAAACCTATTGACAAATCACAGAACTACCTAGATGATAATATCATTGATTGGGTGAGAACCATGATGGATCATTATTAAAAAAACTTTAAGAAACAAAAAAAAAATGATATGGTTCGAGTATCCATATTAAATGCAAGTGAAGCTAAAAACTAAAAAATAAAATATAAAAAATCACTAAGAGGCGAGTATGCATTATTAAACTTGCATCAGTTTCAGATTTGTCATGTGAGTTTTTGGTTAGGGAGAATTTCATGAGTATTTATGTGTTGGCTAAAGGAAAAAAAAAACTCAAGAACTCATAACTTGTTCAAGTCCTCTTTATCCCAATGTTTTTAGTTTAACTTTTTTTGAAAAATAAATAACTTAAACTCTGTACTGTACCAATACAGGCAAGGCCTTTGCTAACACAGACTCTTGAAAATAACAACTTCGATAGTGTGGCCGATCCAAAGTTGCAGAACGATTATAACTCTGAAGAAATGGCTCGGATGGTTGCTTGTGCTTCTGTCTGTGTTCGCCATTTGGCTCGGCGTAGGCCACGAATGAGTCAGGTATTGAAATAATCCGTTATTTTCCCTTGTTCTTCAAAATCTATTAACAATTCATGAACAATGCACCACAACTCGGGCAATTGATCAAGTTAACGCAACTTTTTCGCCTCAAATGCAGATAATCCTTGCTCTCGAAGGAAAATTACCACTAGAAGAACTAAAAGAGGGCATCCAGCCTGGACATAGTGGAGTATACGACTCGTATGGGAGCTCGGATTACGATGCCTCTTACGACACAATGCACTACAAAGAGGATTTGATGAAATTCAGGAAAATGGCCTTAGAAAACCTCGATAACAACACGAGTGAGTACAGTGGCCTCACGAGCGATTTTGGCCGCCACCCGTCTGGCTCGAGTAGCGAGGGGTTGCCAAATTTGCTTAAGAGAGGAAGCAGTGAATGAGTCATGGTATTTTTGTATAATTNTTTAGTACCATACAAAAGGTTGCAAAACTTTCAGCTGTAAACAATTGAAGAGACTTATTTATTCAGGTAAGGCAAAAATAATAATTAAAAAAAAAAAGAAAAGAAATTTTTTCATCAAGATCATACTTGGACCTGATTTTGGAGAAATTCAAATTTATTTCACAATGTAAGTGCTTTTGTGAACTTTCTTTGAATTATAAGAATTATTTATGTGAAGATTATGACGCCTTGGGTGAACTTGTTTGTTAATTTGATCCCTCGAATCATAAGCCATGCCATTGCACAATATGATGTGTCAATATTAGGTGCCCTTTTTAAAGATTTTCCACACGAAAATCAATTAAGAATTAAAAAACCTTTATTGTTCCAAAAAATAAATTCATATGTCGTTTCCTCAAATTCATCTGCAACCTCATGACCTCACCCATTGATGCTACACCTTCGTCGACAAGCGCAATTGCCCTGTTATTGTTGTTGGCGTACACTCTCTTCTCGCTCGAGTAGCTGCTCCTCTTCCCCAATTCGTTGACATATAAATCTTTTTGCACCAGTAAGCCACCGTGAAAGATGCGATTACTAGCAGTAGCATCGAATTCGCCACTGCTATGGCCACAATCGCACCGGTGCCGAGTTTTTTGTGGTGCTTTTCCGGCAAATTGGTGGCCGCGGCGGTCTGCGATGGGTGGGAGGGAGCTCGGGTTGGACGACACCGTCATGGATGGTTGTTCGTGGGTGTTCGAGTAGCTGGAGAAAGGGGGAATTTTTCGTTGTATAGGGCTTGTTTGCCCGCGAAGCTTCTCGATCGGTATCTCGAAATCAAGCTGTCCGAGAGAAATCCATAGAGCTTGTTGTTGGATAGGTTGAGGTCAGTGAGAGTTTGGGGGAGGGGATGAGAGAAAATTAAGGATTGGGCCGGAGATCTCTTTGTTCTGGAGGTGGAGGGTGATGAGGGGGGTGAGATTGGCGAGCGGCAGCGAGATGGGGCCGCAGAGGTTGTTGGTGGATAGATCAAGGCGATGGAGGGCAGAGATTTCCGAAAAGATATGAGATTGACTAGCCAGCTGGGTTGGTTTGGCTATTCTTTTCTATTGAAAATGAGTATTTGCTCTCTGATTCATACTCCTCTTGATCTTCTTTTTATGATAGAACTTCGCTTCGTCTGTTCCATCACTTCCGGTGAGGGACGAATGGCTGGAAAAGTCGTTGCCGGAGAGGTACACGAGCTTGAGGTTGAGGCAGCAGGCAAAGGGGGAGAGGGTGCCGTTGAGGCGGTTGCCGCGGAAGTCAAGGAGACGGAGCTTGTCAAAGGATGCGAAGGAGTATGTGGCTACGAAGGTTGTGGGAGGTTAGGACGACCGTGGTGACGCATCCGTTGGTGCATGGAAAATCTTTCAAAAAGTGACCTAATATTTATCATGGAATTGATAATTGAAATTAATAAAGTCAACTCATATGACACATCATATTGTGGCATGACTTATGGCATTCATATGGGCGCCATAGAATTTTTGTGTTTTCATGGGTCTATTTAGGATATTTGATGAGAATTAACGAATATAAATATTTTATTAATGCGCTTCTTATCAATTATTAAGGTGGCTATTGAATAAAAAATATATATATAATATATTTTAAAGTAAGGGTTAGGGGTAACCAACCCAGAGGCTTGAGCTCCTTATATAAAAGCTTGTTAACTAAATGAGATGATAATCAAGCTCATACTCGAGGTTTAACTTAACTAGCAAAATCGTACCTTAACGAATTTATTATAGAAAATTATTTAGAAATTTATAGTTTCGAACCTTAAATGAATCTCGGTTTCAGCTCAAGATATGCGAGCTTGTAAACTAAATGATTTGATAAACATATAACCATCGAAGGTTGTTGAAGCGACTAATTCCTGGAAATTAGGTTCGTGCTCGAGTTTTAAACTAAACGGGCTTGATTCTTTTGACTTGACTTCACGACTCGTTTCATTTGAGTTCTAATGTTACGTAATTCCATTCAATAATTACGTTTTTAATAATAAAAAAAGTAACTAAAGATATAAGGTATCACAATTTTATGAGCTTAAATAAATAATTAAGGATATACGGTATCACAATTTTAGGAGCTCATGACGTGAGATAAGTATAAAGACTTTCATCTAATTATGTTTACACTATCAGCAGTTAAACACCTTTTGAAAATGTCATTTTAATACACGTACAAGATACACACGACAAAATTTACGATTCTGCATTCTATACAACTAAATGACGTAAAATAATGCATATTCTGCTCTAGCTATTTAAGACAATGATTTATTGTTCAATAAATTTGGATAAAGGAACTTTATTTATCGTAATTGCACTCAATAGGACTTGCACAACAATATCAGTCAAGTTGGGGGAAATTTAAATATTTCGGTGTGACAATTTATTCATCGAATCAACACACATTCATACAATACAATTGTGTATGCGTCTAATTAGACGGCTCCAATCCAAATAAGTACAATAGGATCAAATTAGCGTAAGTTGAGCCTAGTTCGGGTCGACTAGTGCACTTTCTACTTAATTAGTGGTGAGTGACTATAGGTTAAAACCGATTTTGACTGACAGAATAATATTTTCACATATTTCAAAGACCAAACTCAAATTTAATCCAACCCAATCTTATCAATATTATCAGTATAATTAAACATTTATTAATCATTCTCACACATCATATCAACTTTAATTCACTATACATATTTTAATTTAGGCAAAATTGCATATAAAAGCACCACCTTTTATGTTTTTGCATTTTAATCACGACCTTCTCATATTAGCACTTAAGTACATGACCTTTCATCTCTTTGCAAGTCGAAGCACGACTTTCATCTCCGGCACCAATTAAATGACGTGGCCTGCCGGAATACACATCTGGAATTTAAAAAAAACGAGAAAAATGCCAAAATAAAATCCACGTCGTTTATTTGACACGTCAGCTGCACCAAAAAATTAAAAAACGAGAATCTAAATTCCACGTCGAGTGCAGAAATCTTAATATATGTCACCCTCTCATTCTCTATCGTTCACAAACAGAACCATAATTTTCTTCTTCAATTTTTGTGAATATGGCAATAATGGCAAAGTTCTTGTGAATCAGATGCTCTTCAATTTCAGTAAACATTCTCCACGGCTTTGGAATTGCACCCCAAAATTCCCAATTCTTCTTCATATACGAACCCTAGTTGTGTTTTTCGAAACCCCCAAGTTGTCCTGAAAATGTCGAGCGGATCTAGCAGTCGAACCACAATTCTTCATCCTCCTACTTGTAAACATGGTCAAGCGGAGCTACTGACCTCGAACACGGATAAAAATCCAGCTCGGAGGTATTATCGCTGTGTTGAGAGAAATGTAAGATTTTCTTTTTTTTTTAAAAAAAAAAAAATCTGTTCTGTCATTGTTCATTCTATTTTTTGGCTTTGTGAATATGTGCTCGGATTATGATAATGTGTTGTTTTTCTGTGTTTGTGGTACAATGGTTGAGTGAAGAAGTGATACATTGCCTGTATATTGATATTTTTTATGCAATGGTTGACTGAAGAATTGGGCATACTTGAATTCTATTTTTTGGTTTTGTGAATATGTGCTCGGATTATGAATAATACTGGATTAGCTCAGTGTATTCTATGCATACTTGAATTCTATTCTGCATACTTGGGATGATGGAATTTTATCCTGCGCAGACTATCATATTCAATGCCAATTTCCATGCTAATTTCCCTATTTGTACATTAAATCACATATTGAGATTCCCTAATAATGCAGACCAATGATTGCAAATTTTTTGAGTGGCATGATGCTGAGTTGCCACCATTTCAGAAGGCTTGCTTCTTGAGAATGAAGGCTCAAAAGAACTTGCTAGAAGAGCAATTGAAATGTAAAAGTATCTCTGAAAGTCTTATGTCTGAAAGGCTAGAGATCAAAGAAAATGAGTTGCATCAGCTGAAGAACAAAATTCAAGAGTTGGAGATGAAAGAAAATGAGTTGCATCAATTGAAGAAGAAAATTGAAGAGTTGGAGCAGAATGTGCATAACCATTCAAGGAGACTGAAATTTGAGAGAAATGTCTATGTTATTTCTGTTTGTGTTATTTGTATCTATGTTCATTGTTAGAGACTCTGGTAAAGGTCAATTAATGTTGAAGTAGACTTTTGTGTTGTAGGGGACTTTGAAACATTGTACCTTTTGTGTTGTTTGGAAAAATTATCAATGTTGTCTGATTTGTGTTTGTAAGGTCAATTAATGTTGAAGTAGATTTTTGTGTTTTAGGGGACTTTGAAACATTGTACCTTTTGTATTGGTTGGATAAATTATCAATGTTGTGTGATTTGTGTTTGTAAAGACATGGACAACTTAAATGTTGTGTGAAATTTGTGTCTGTCCTGTAAGCACATGATATGCTTCTTTAAACATAACCAATACCATTAATAAAAGCCCTGCACCATGCAATTTAAACACACAATGGCAACTGATAAGATTTCTTGGCATAAACATAAACAACAACATTAATAAAGGTCTTCAAACCATGTCATTCAAACACACAAGATTCTTTACAAAAGAGCAACTGAAATGACATAAACACATTAATTCCTTACAACTGAATTGACAAAAGAGCAAATTCATGTTTGACACTTCAAATTTAATTTCCTACATACTGAATTCCACAAAAGATAGCACCTAAACAAATGGTGCAATACAATATCCATGGTCTTCATGACTTATCCAGATACATTGCACTTCCAACATCAAAATGCCAAAAAAAAAAAAAAAAAAAGAAAAAAACTACTTGGCGACACTTTCTTGTGTTCCTGCAATGTCTCCTCCAGGTTCTCTTGTCACTTGGCTAGTCCCTCCAGTTGAAGACAAACAATGAACTCTTTTGTCACTTGACATCTAACATATTAAAAAATTAGTGTTAATTAGACCTTATAATGCACCATTAATTTGTATAAAGAAAACTACTCACTGTCATGTAAATTGCACCAGTTTCTTCAGATTGGTAAACACCATAACCCTTTCTTGCCTGCATTAGATACACAACAAATCAATGAACAACACTTATTTAAGCTTATTACTAATGAAAGTGGAATTCAGACAATCCTCATAATACCATTGCTCTATCCTTGTACATTTGCCCCTGGCCAGATTGTGTAGTTCTCTGTCTAACTGGCATTTTCCTCTTTCTGCCTTCCATAGGGGTAGATTTTTCTTTTTCTAAATGGCATGTTCTGTCATTCTGAATTGCATCAGGAACCTCATTTACAGGAGGACACATTCTGTCCTGTAATCTCGGCCTTCCAATCTTTTTCTACAATTCAAACAAGCATACAAATGCTTTAAGATTAAGATACAAATAAAAAGGAGAAAATCAAGTATAAATGCAACAATTAATACTCACCCTTGGTGGCTTAGGAGCAGCTTCATTTTTACAGGTTCTTTTGTTGTGACCAACCTGCAAGCACTTCTGGCATCTCATTTGCAAGCCAAATCTTTTCAATGTTGTAGCACTCTTGGCTTCTTCCTCAGGTGCTTTTCTCCTTACAATCTTAGGTCTTCCTGGCATTCTCTTATATGGAGGTGGTTTTACCTTAGTACCAAGTGCAGCCCATCAAAACCTATCACTGGCCTACAACCTTGCAAAAAACCTTGTCTTAAAGCACTAAAACCAATGAAAAAGGCCTTGAACACACTACCCGTGGCCAATAGGAGTTCAAACCTACCATTTCTATCAACCCTCTGCAATTCTGCAATGTAGTTCCTCAAACAGCCATAGTGCTCCTCTTCTGACCCCCTAAGCATCTCCAAAGCTTTGTACTTGCCTCTGTACAATTTCCACTTATTTGGTTGCACTGCATATTTTTCCATAATTTGGTCCTCCAAATCAGCCACTTTCATCCTTGGTTTCTTTCTAAACTTATCTAGAAACTCTTTAGCCACCCAACTAGAAGTTACTTGCCTAGTTTTGATGTCCCTATAACATGTGTGCTCAGCAACAAGGGTCTTAATGGCAATTCTTCCTTCTCCTTTGATCAAACTGGCATATAGTTTCCAAGGACAAGGCTTCTGACACCTAGCTTCTACTTGTTTCTCATTACTTCTCCAAAACTGAATGTTGCAGCCATTATAAATAGCATGAGTCTGGATGGCATCTTTGCATTGAACAATACTATCAAACCTCATTCCTAAAACAAATTGCAAATCCTTTTTATCACTCTTGGGATCATATATAGCACACTTCTTCCCTGACTTACTCACACCATCACTATCAGAATTCTCTGAATGAGTTTTCACAGAACCATCAGAATCTTCATAGTCTGACTCAAATTCACTGTTAGGTCCATCAGAAGCTTCATCTTCATGAACAAAATCTGTAGGATTCATACCATCTACACCTTGACTTTTTCTGAATATTTCTCTATCCTTTCTGGCAGATAGGTATTCTTCATCATCTGTCACTAGATCACTATCAGATAGGCCATCATCACTGGAACTGTCTCCAGATGGTTCATAATCATCATCAGTTGAATCACCACTGAGGTTGGCATCATGTACACTCTCAGTATTCTTTTCAACTATTTCATTGCCTTCATCAACATACACATAGATAAACCTTTTTGGAGGTAGTAACTTCACCATACTCCTCATATCACTGTCACTAGAAATATCTGTAAATACATCTTTTCCCGGAATCTTGTAACAGATTTTCTTCCAGTCCTTGTAACCCAATTTCTGTATTTCTCCTTTCAAGTGAATGTAAGAAAACTTATCTGGTTGCAATCCATGTATGGCACACAGGTCACCCCCATAATAATCGAATAACCCATCCAAGCTGAGAAACTTACCACCATGATTAAAAAAAATTGTATACTTACTGCATTGGCAAAGGAAAAAAAAATGTTTAGAATAAGGATTATAAGGCAAAAATCCCTAATTAAAACAAAACTTTGAGTTTTGTATCCCTAATCCCTAAAAAATTCTAATTGACAGAAAACCCTAATTATGTATTTCTAATCCCCAAAAATCCCATATTGAAAGTAAAACCCTAATTCTGCATCCCTGATCCTTAAAAAACCTAATTTAGAACCATAAACCCTAAAATTGCAAAACTGTAAGCCAAAATATCTTAATCGAAACCCATAATTAATAAAATATATGTATCTAAAAGAGATTATAGAATTCAAGGAAAAAACAAATAGCGAATTTCGTATAGAATATTACACAGAAAGATTACCTGTCTGCCATTCCTTCATCAACTGTTCGGTATTGGGACCACATTGGTGATTTTCATATAGAATAAGGCCGATTTGTCTAGGATTTTCAGTATTCAAGCCTTGGATTTGTCGATTTTGTCTTTGAGATCTGAGATTGCCTTTGCAGAGGATTTTTTAATGTTTCATTCCTCTTCAATTTCGGGATTTTTATTATTTTTGCACTCGACGTGGAATTTAGATTCTCGTTTTTTAATTTTTTGGTGCAGCTGACGTGTCAAATAAACGACGTGGATTTTATTTTGGCATTTTTCTCGCTTTTTTTAAATTCCAGATGTGTATTCCGGCAGGCCACGTCATTTAATTGGTGCCGGAGATGAAAGTCGTGCTTCGACTTGCAAAGAGATGAAAGGTCATGTACTTAAGTGCTAATATGAGAAGGTCGTGATTAAAATGCAAAAACATAAAAGGTGGTGCTTTTATATGCAATTTTGCCTTTAATTTAAGACCAAACTCAAATTTAATCCAACCCAACTCTTATCAATATATCTAAATAACACTTATTAATCATCCTCACACATCACATCAAGTTATTCATCTACTCACATATTTTTTTAACTACCTATTATTTTCATTAACATCTCTCATACTTTTACATCATAATAATTTTGATTATTATTAAATATTATTTAAATAAAACTCAAAATCTCGTTCAATCAACTTCTTTCAAAATTAAATCACCACTAGTACAACACTCGTGTATTACACGGGTGCTTGTTAAAAAATTATTTCTTAAATTATAAAATTAGTGAGAAAAATAATTTTAAATTTTATTTACTTTTGTACAAAAAATATATATTATTATATATTTTAGAATAACTCTTGTTACTTTTGCGACTTACATGTGTTATATTATAGCAATTTTTATAAATTATATCATATAATTACTTTAAATATAAATATATTAATTGATAAATAATTTTATTTTTTTAATTAATGTTAAAAAATAATTTTATCGTTGTTATAAAGATAAATATAATTTATTTTTTAATATATACAATATGGATGTTGAATCGAAGTTCATCAAAAGATGATTAATTTGATATATTATATATTTATAACTGATAAAAAATACAAAAGTTATTAACTTTAAAAATACATTTACAATTCAATAGTTATAATAAGAAATGATACTAAAATGCAATTAATACATGTAACATGATCATAATAATAAACATAGTTATGGATAATCAGAACCTAATTATTTTTGGATTAAAAGTAAATTAAAATCTACCCAAGCCTAATAACGAAGCATGTACTTTTGCCACATAAGATCTCAAAGCATGCGAGTCTGCAACTTAAGCACGTTCTCAATTAATATATAGGAGGGATTTTAACCCATAAATATCTCCAATCATCATCTAAATGATTGACAAGTGTCCATTTTCATGGAGGATGTGATAAGAGTGTAAAGTCCCTCTCCCTCAACTCTAACTACTAAACATATTTGGGCAGAAAGAAACATCACTACGTACAAAATTAGCTAAAATTAGCAAGAGTGTGCAAACTTGTGGTGAATGATAATAGAGATGGGAAGTCCCACTCACATCCAACTATATTAATGAGATTATAAGCTCAAAACTGGCAATTTCTTGAGGACTCAATATAATATGGAACCTAAATATTTTGGTCTTTTTCAGCAACATTACATTATGATGGTCACAACTCATAACTATGTTGATTTTATAACTACTAAATTAATTAATTAACTACTAGTATGTGGCCCGTGCGATGCACGGGAAAATAATATTTTGATTGTATTATAAATTAAATAAATAAATAACATTAATCATGATTTACCCATTATTTATAAATTAAACCGGGTTGGACACAGTCCGACCGGATGGACCGAGAACCTGTTTATAACCGATTTAGTGCGCTTGAATAAAATATTTGCTATCGAATCCGCCAACACCAGTATGTTGGACTGGTAAGATCGATACGATTTTCTAAATAAATTTTGTTACATGAAAAATTATTTTAAATAAAATTACATATTTAGATAAAATAGAGATTTATAAATTGTTTATCAATTAGTCTAAACATTTGAATTTATAAATTGTTTAGATATTTAAGTAACACTTTCTATTTAAATTTATTACAAAAAGTACTATATATATATATATATATATATATATATATATTAAAGTATTATGTATTAAAATCTGAACAACCACAAGACGGTGCGATTCTGAAAACCTTATATTTACCGTACATTAATAAAAATGATAATGAAATAAATATTTTGTTCACATAAATAATAATAAAATGATATATAAATGTTCATAAATCATTAATCATGTTGTCATAAAAGTATTGTTAATATGATTATTTGAAATTTGGATGACATCACATTCACGTAATAAAGTATTTTTAATATTAAAATTTAAATTTAGGTTCAATAATCAATTTGGTCTGGTCAAACTGATACATAACTTAATTACCTCGGACCAACCAAGTTATGTCAAGTTTTTTTACTATTTTAAATATCACCTAAAAGTAATTCAATCAAAGTGGGCAGTATCCTAATTCAATCACCTGATTGATCCAAACTAATTTTCTTATTTTCTTTAAATATAATATTTAATTTTATGAAATAAAAATATTTTATGATTCATATGTCTACACCAAATGATAGTATATTAAGATTATAAATTATATATCCAAAGATGAACTATTTATTTTTATTTTATGCATATTAATAAAAAATAAACATAGTAATTTTTAAAAAAAATTAAGATTAATTGATTGGGTATGCAATTTAAAAAATATTTTTAGCGTTCAATATATATATATAT